AGGAATATGGCCAACAAATAGAATGACATTAACAAGCATCACTAAATCAATACTGCTTGGTTAGTTTTCGATGCTATTTTTTATTAGGAGCAACTTGTCTCTAACCACATGGCAGAGTAGCCTCTTACTGTTCAGGGTGTCATGCTGGTGTCCCATGCTGCTTCTTGTCAACCATTGAGATGTGGAGCAATATGCCTACAGGCCATTTTGTGGATCATCCCGACTTACTTCCACTGCTGCTGTTTTCATATTTTCCTTGTGGGGCTTCGTTACAGTCTGAATAAGTTATATAGGGGAAGATGGAGAAAACCTAATAGACACTTAACTATCATTTGTTGAGCATCTGTTATATGCCAGTCACTGGGTTGCCTCTAATTTGCATAATATTTCTTGGATTTTGGTGTAATGTCATTCTATAGAGGAGTGTTAGAAAAATCATCTAAAACTTAAAAATAAGACAACGAATGACTACATATACTTTCAAAATCATACTGTATCATTGTCCAATAAGACCAAGGATTATTTGGTGTTTAGGAAATATTCCTTTGATAGGTTTACTATACATTATTGATTAGGGAGCAAATTTTGTTAAAATACATGTTAACTTGTAGATTATTGTTTAGTAGAAATGAAAACTATTTCTGCCAATAACTAAATAACTCAAAAGTATAAGGTTTTGTTGCCCTGTATGATATCAAATTGTTTTGTCTCCAGTTTAGCAAATTTACTTCAGCATGCTTTGCCTGATAGGATATATCATTCTCTGTTTCTTTAATTCTCCTTTGAATCAGTTTTATCACCTGGAATTTTCCTCATTATTGATGTAAAGCTTAAGACATGTTTCCTTTTATTTGTGCATAGGTTATGTTTTTAACTTTTATGAAATTATATTTTGATAGGATTAAACTGAATCTCAGAATTCTTTTTCCCCAGTTGGCAGGCTATTGAGAAGTTGTGTTGTGATCCAGGTCTGTCTGATTCCAATTATCTTGATGCTTCTATTCCTCATCGTTGTGTTCCCGACCCCAGCCCTTATAAGATAAAGTAAAATTTTACGTACAAATAAAATAGTGTTTTGCTTCTAGTTCCTGAGTAGCTCCAGGGCTTAGCCTTTCATTCAGTTTGGTCAGACTTAGTGTCTCTGTAGCCTAATTACTAACACACTGCACGGTCCACAGTAGGAACACAATAACTTCTTATTAACTCAGTGAATACACAAATGAACGAACAAAAGAAAAGTAAATAATTGATAATATGCCTGATTGAGTAACATATTCTTTTAGAGCAAGAATATCTTGCTTATGCTAGGGAGGAAAAAATAAGCAATAAATTGACAGTCTTTTAGAGTAAGATTATTATTATCTTTTAGAGTAAGATAAATTACAAACATATTCTATGCTAAGAATCTTATCTCTTTTAATGATTGACTTTTGACCTTGGACAAATCTTTTTGGGGTTGTCTCCAAAATTGCTGAAGTAATACCATATTCACCTGATCCACTAGATGATTTCTTGAATCTTGCAAACTTTTAGGTCTATGGTTTTATGATATTCCTTAGTAGAACAAAATTATCCCCTCTCCCATTCTCCTTCCTTAGGATTCCTGTTGATAACTATACTACAGTACTCAAAAAGAATAAGAAAGTCAATCAAGATATTGATTAAATGTCTACTGGATACCAAGTCTCATACCATGTATTTGGACAACCCAAAGATGAATAAGATTCATTCATGTTTTGCCTCAAGGCATTTGTACTTTTTCTCAGCTTCTGAAATGCTAGATGTTCACATGAGTAGCCCCTCATTTTGTTTAGTTCTTTTCTCATATGCCCCATCCTAAGAGAAGCCTTAGCTAGCCCTTTCATCATATGTAGTATGCCCAACCACTCTCTGTCCTCTCACCATAATTTACCTTTTTGTACAGTGCTTATTTATTGATTAATCTGTCTTTTATATATAAATATATATACCTCCCTAACTAAACAATAAGACCTGAAAGAGGAAGGGATTATTTGTTTTACTTATTTTGTATTTCTAGCACAATGAACAATGCTGGCTCATAGGAAGTAAAGTCAGTTCAACTTTGTGCAGAAGTTTTGTTCTATAAAATTGTTGCAAACACTGAATTAGCAAATATTGAAATATCGCTCCCAAAGGAAATACCAATTTAGGCTCCTGGGAGCCTGTAGTCACAATCAATACATAACCTTGTCTAATGTACATTTCTGTGAAGATACCATATTAAAGATAATTTTCTTACAAATAATTAGTTATGTATAGTATTTCTTTATAACTAAAGACTGGTGAAGAAGGATTTAACATTTTCCTGACTCTGAATGATATGGTCATAAATTTCTTCGGCTTCTAGCCTCACAGCAATGCTGTCCACTACTCTTTTGTAAAATTGGTGGCCATCTCACAAATATACAAATTTAGCCATTTTTCTATAGCTGTGTTTATGATAGATGTTACTTTAGTAATTCCTGAAGGAGCCTTACATATAGATTGGCAGATATCCTCTTTGTCTTTCTGGATATACTGTATTGTTGATTAATTAACAAGAGCGCTATAACTCAAGCCTGAATTAAGCTTATCTGAGACACATATTTTCTCTGTAAGTTAAATCACAGCCTCTCTTTGTTCAGGAACACTGTGCAGCATTTTATCACTACATTTGCAGGGCTTTTTTTTTTTTTTTTTTCTTTTTCAACAGAGCCTTGCTGTTGTCAGCCTGGGCTGGAGTGCAATGGCACAATCTCAGCTCACTGCAACCTCCGCCTCCTGGGTTCCAGCAATTCCCCTGCCTCAGCCTCCCAAGTAACTGGGATTATAGGCATCTGCCACCATGCCTGGCTAATTTTTTGTATTTTTAGTAGAAAAGGGGTTTTACCATGTTGGCCAGGCTGGTCTTGAACTCCCGACTTGAGGTGATTCACCCGCCTTGGCCTCCCAAAGTGCTGGGATTACAGGCATGAGCCACCGCTTCCGGCCTTGGGGGCCATTTTAAAAGCAAAATCACTAACAAAAAGTGCAAATATGTAAAACTATGGCACTAAATATACTATAAAGAGGATGCGTTAATAGTAGGAAAGCTGAAACAAGATGGACCTTTGCCTTGTTTGAGTTTTCTGGGAATGTATATGAAGAAACTCAAATCTTTTGTAACTCCACACGTCAACAAATATCCACAAAAGTGCAATAAGCATTGATTTTGAAGTTACAAGTAAATTTTAGTGAGTAGGAAAATTTGCCAGTAGTGGAATCCACAATGAGAGGATTGCTTGTATTTGGTTATTTCTTAAATGTATTGTGGAGGGATTGTTATGGAGAAGAGAATTAAAGAAAAGTTTTAAGTTTAAAGAAAAGTGTGGTACTAGATTTTAGATAAACAAAAGCAACAAATATTTTCTAAAGGAGTGTTTCTCAAATTTTAGTAAATAAAAATTACAAGGAAAATGAATGCATAAATATTACCTGGGTGTACATGTTAATCCTTTTTCAGTAGGTTTGAGGTAGGAACTGAGATTCTGACTTTCTAACAAACTTCCAAAAGACACCAAGGCTGCTACTTTGAGTAGCAAGGCTTTAGAGCCATTTATCAGCTTTCTGATCTTGGGCCATATACTTAATCTCTGAGTCCCAGTTACTGTTGTACTTGTTCTCTGTTCTCTTCAAGAATGGCGCCATGCCAAAGAAGAGACTAGGATCCAGTGAACAAGATATAGGTGCTGCAGGGCGAACTCCGAAAGGTTCTTGGCTTTGCACAGAAAAGAATTCAAGTGTGAGCTAACAGAGTAAAATGAAACCAAGTTTATTAAGTAAAGGAATCAAAAGATGACTACCACAAAGGCAGAGTAGTGTAACCTGGGGAGTGGAGGGCATCCCCAATTTTCTGTCCAAAGAGGTTCTTGGCCTCAGTAACCCTGAAGAATGGAGAAGGGGGCCCCAGAGGCATGGGGAGTTTGCCATTCAAATAAATATCGTGGACTCAAAAAGTTTTGTGGAAAAGCAATTTATTAGAGCAAGAGAGAGAGACAGCTCCCATGCTGCAGTGGGGATCTGGAGACAGAATCCCAGTAGGTAAGGAGCAGCTGAATTGTAACCCTTCAGTTATCCCCTCCCCATTCATGTGCTCGTCCAAGGAGAGGAGTTCTTTCAAACTTTCTCTGGAGTGACTGATCTTTGACTCTAATACCTGATTGGCTGATTGGTCCACAACAGCTCGCCCCCACCCCCACCAGAGCTTTCACCAGCAGACTTTTTGGACAAAGGAGCCCACCTGGATTTCTCTACCTAGCCCTTGTGCAGAAACCCAAACAAAGAACTTTACATTCTGGACGGAGGCTAGGAGCCTGGAAACTCCTGCCTTTGAAACCACACCCCTCACAGACCTGGGAAGAGTCCCTCAGTAACAGCATGGGCTGCTTGACTGACTATACTTATAGATCGTTCTTTATTATATGCTAAGGAAAGGGTGGATTATTGATGAGTTTTCTTGGAAATAGGCTCCCAGAACTGAGTGTTCCTTTGCCTTTCAGACCATACAGGGTAACTTCTGGACATTGCCATGGCATTTGTAAAATCTCATGGCACTAGTAATGTAGCAGGTGTGGCCGCGGGAAACAGCTCTCTCGGACACCGAATATTGGAGGAAGGAGTTTATTCAGCCGGGAGCCAGGTGGCATATTTGCCTAATATCCAAGCTCGCCTAACAAAGGAAAGTTCCTTCTTTATATAGGCTTATACTTTAGATGTTACATGTGGAAGAATCTTAGGTTTATAGCTTAACATATGAAAAGGGTTTCTGTTTACAGTCTTAAGAATTACATATGAAAAGGGTTTCAGTTTACCGTCTCAGGAATTACATATGAAAAGAGTTTTAGTTCACCATCTTAGGAATTACATATGAAAAGGGTTTCTGTTTACAGTCTTAAGAATTACATATGAAAAGGGTTTCAGTTTACCTCTCAGGAATTACATATGAAAAGAGTTTTAGTTTACCATCTTAGGAATTACATATGAAAAGGGTTTCAGTTTACAGTCTTAGGAATGAAAAAAAGGAAATTGATCTGAGATGCGTGGGTCTCCCTCTTCAGTAGGAGTGTCTTTTAGCTTGCTAATGTGTTATAATAAGTATATAAGGAGCAGTGAGGATAACCAGAGGTTGCTTTTCTTGCCATCTTGGTTTTGGTGAGTTTTGGCCAGCTTCTTTACCACCTCCTGTTTTACCAGTGGGGTCTTTGTGACCTGTATCTTGTGAAATATGTCCTGCCAAATTCCTATTTCATAGGGTTTATCAGAGACTTACATACAGGGTGGTTTAGGAGCTGCGGGCTGGACAGGAAACCATTGCCATTTGTAAAAAGCATGCAGCTTATATCTCGTTTTTACTTAGCAGCCTCCACCTAGCAACTTCCCTTTAGCCCAAAAGAAAGGACTTTGATCTCATGTACAGCATGTGTTCCAAGGAATGGGCCAGGTCAGATGTCCTTCATATAAGATGTCCTTCAGATAAGGAATGAACCTCTGAGCTTGCCACTCCCGGATTTCTTAACTGAAAACTCTGAATACACATTCTTCTTAGATCATAGTGTCTTTCTCAGGGTATACTTGAGTTATTGCTGTCAGGTGTGTCTGCTGTACAATTACCTCATCTGTGAAATGGGTAAGATAGTAATATCTCATTGGTTTATTGTAGGATTAAATAAAAGAATTTCTTTAAAGCTCTTAAAACTGTGTATATCATACAGTAAACCCCCAAAGTTTCATCATAATGATGATGAAAAAACATGCTCTAATTTCTCACATTCTAAAAAGCAACTTACACACAATCCAACAAAATCCTCTTATTTAATTTTGTTTTCTCTTCTTTTAATATACAGGCTTACAAGAGTATTTTATTACCATTTTCCACCTGTTATTTATTCCTTAGTTGCTGTCCCTGCCATTCGCCAAGGTATGTTCCCACCAGTAATACCATAAGCTCTTGACCTCCTGAAGTTTCACCAAAAAAAAATATATATATATATATATATATATCACCGATATGAAGCAGGTTGATTAACAGGAGAAAAGGCAAAAGCAGTTATTTAACATATATTCACAAGAGCCTTCAGAGTGAAGACCCAACTTCCCAATACATAACAGAAGCTAATTTACCATCTTGAAATTACAGAAAGAATGTGGACTCAGATGTGTCCAAAACCAGGCTTCAGTAGCAAGACAGTGGGAGGAAGAAAGGAAGAGGCTTGGCTAGCAAAGGTGACCTTGTTATGTAGATGAAGCCTTCCTTAGAAAGAATAGAAGGTAAATGCTTCTTTTCAGACTTTTAAAGGTGTCAGACTCTCAATCTCTTCTGGAGCCCAGAAGAGCACAGAGAGGGAAGGCATGGTTGCATAAATGGAGATTCTCTACAGATGCAAATTTTCTCCACAAAGGACAGCTTTGCAAAGACACTTTTGTTTCACCAGCTCTGTGGTAGCCATCTCAAATGTCAAAGAAGTATATTTTGGGTTAAAATATTTTTATTTCCTTCTCCACAATACATTTTTTAGACCAGTAAGATGAAGCCTGTTCTTTATGTGATTGGAGATACTACTGAAATAACTAGACCAGATGATCTTTCCCTCCTTGAAACTATTTCCTTGATGTGCTAGATTACGTTGCTGCTAATTCTTTCCACCTTCCTTGAATTGGATCGATATGGGGTTGCTAGCTGATTCCAATATGTGTGCAGAATTAGACGATTGATCCAGATTTTTGCAGTATCCATCCCTCTTGTTTTTTCTGAGCAGCAGCCAGAGATTCACTGGTTGGTTCACAGGAATAAGCAGGGTTAGTCTAAATTTCAGAAAGAATCTTAAAAACAACTTTTGAGATTAGAATCTAATAACAGGTATACCATAATTTTTGAAACATAGTTTTTTTCCTCTTGCCGCTCTTTCATTTTTAGTAAAGACAAATCATGGTAAGATCAATTTGCTTTATGATACTTGGCCTGATTATTTGTATAAAGTGCAGTAAGAACATTATTTTTCACATAGGCATATTTATTTACTTAGAGACGGAGTTTCTCTCTTGTTGCCCAGGCTGGAGTGCAATGGCATGATCTGGGCTCACAGCAACTTCTGTCTCCCAGGTTCAAGTGATTCTCCTGCCTCAGCCTCCCAAGTAGCTGGATTACGGGCAGCTGCCACCATGGCCGGCTAATTTTTTGTATCTTTACTAGAGAATGGGTTTCACCATGTTGGCCAGGCTAGTCTTATTCCTGACCTCAGGTGATCCACCCGCCTTAGCTTATAATACAACTTTGGTGTATTATAACAAACTAGGTAGGAAATATACTTTTAGCAATGGCTGTTGGCAGTTATGGGGGGTACTTGGCTCTTTGCACATTTGGCTTAGAGAAGCATGCTCTTTGCCACCTGGAAGATATTGCCACCTCCCACTGAGAGATAAGACTCCCATGATAAATGAGCTAGTCACAGAATCGTGCTGTGATTGGCTTTGGGTTGCTTTGCAATGAAATGCACTGTAAAATCATTGTACTGTCTTGTTCCATCAAAGCCAATTATAAAAACCTATGTGGCGCCTGGCACAGTGACTCACACCTGTAATCCTAGCACTTTGGGAGGCCGAGGCAGGTGGATCACCTGAGTTCAGTAGTTCAAGACTAGCCTGGCCAACATGGTCAAACCTTGTGCCTACTAAAAATATGAAAAATTAGCTGGGTGTGGTGGCACGTGCTTGTAATCCCAGCTACTCAGGAGGCTGAGGCAGGAGAATTGCTTGAACCTGGGAGGCGGAGGTTGCAGTGAGCCAAGATTATGCCATTGCACTCCAGCCTGGACAACAAGAGTGAAACTCTGTCTCAAAATTAAATAAATAAATAAACAAACAAATAAATAAATAAAAACTTTGCCAAAAGTAGCCTCTCAGGTGAAACCAGTAAGCCTTAGCTACTAAGCTATAGCATTAGGCATTTTCCATTGCTCTTTCCAGGAGGCACCTAGGGCAGCTAATTTTGAGCTTGCAAAGGCTTTTAATTGCTTGAGATAATTTTTAAGGCTTACTGACATGAGCCTCAAAATTCCTATTCCCTGGAAGGTGGAGACCATGAGAAAGTACTGCCATATGGTTACGAGGTCAAGCTCTCTAGAATATTTTTCAACATGTGGTCTCTAGGCAAGATGAAAGAGCAAACAGTTGCCCTGAGTAACAGAAAAGATAGAAAAGAGAAAGGAGAGAAAGTGAGAAAAGCATTGCCTGCAGCAGGTCGGGGAAGGTAAGCAGCTCAGGAGGCAGAGAAAGACCCACCCATTGCAGTGACACTTAATCATAAGTTCAGGCAGCTGCTTCTTGGTAGCAAAGAGATCTTTTCTAGCAGTCCCATCAGCTCTCCAGTTTCCCCTTTTGGGGAGAAAAAGCTCCCCATGTTTCATGATCCTGTATATGCCTAATCCTCTCACCCACAGCCATTAGCACAGTGCCAGGCTGATTGATCCAAAGAGAAGAGCGGTTAATATTCCATAGTGCCAAACCTGTACTTAGCCAAGAGGAATTTTACAGTCTTTTGTCTTTCCATTACCCTCTAAATCTTAGGCCTCTAACACCCGAAATCCTAGGAAGGTTTCTAACCTTCCTAAGTTGGGCCCCAAACCCAAGTTCGGTCAAGCATCCTTGCCTTTTATTAAGATGGGCCTTTAACCCTCTCTGTCTTAGGAGAGACTCTAACTCCCTTCAAGTGGGCTTCTAACTCAATCTCATCCTTTATCCAGGAACACCACCACTTACCCCAAATCAGCCAATCAGTGCTGTGGTCTATTTCCTTGAGGCCAGGGATCTCCTCAGTATCATCCCTTCATGGTTTGCCAGGAAGATGTTACCAGAAAGGGATCCCCATCCAGACTCTAAGAGATGGTTCTTGGACTTCCCACAAGAAAGAATTTGTGGTGACTCCATAGGGTAAAGTTAATGCAAGTTTATTAAGAAAGTACAGTAATAAAGAATGGCTACTTCATAGGCAGAGCAGCAGCATAGGCTGCCTAACTAAGGATGCTTATAGTTATTTCTTGATTGTGTGCTAAACAAGGGGTGGTTTATTCATGAGTTTTCTAGGAACAAGTTGGGCAACTCCCAGAACTGAGGATTACTTCCCTTTTTTAGACCATATAGGGTAACTTCTTGACATTGCCATGGCATCTGTAAATTGTGATGGTGCTGGTGGGAGTGTCTTTTGGCAATGCATTATAATTAGCATAAAATGAGCAGTGAGGATGAACAGAGGTCATTTTCATTGCCATCTTGGTTTTGGTGGGATTTGGTTGGCTTCTTACCACATGCTGTTTTATCAGCAAGTTCATTGTGACCTGTGTCTTGTGCCAACCTGCTATCTTATCCTGTGACTTAGAATGCCTAACCTCCTGGGAATTTGGTCCAGTCTATTGCAGCCTTATTTTACCCAGTCCCTATTAAAGATAGAGTCGACTCTGGTTCAAATACCTTTGGCAGTGTGATATTACACTTCACTCTGGAATGGGTAAAAATGACCCTGGGCTGGGTCATCTAACTTGCTTTGCCCAGCGAAATGTTGGCAATGGATATGTGCCAGTTTCAAGCTAAGGTCTTACAAGGCAATAAATATGTGCTGCAATTTATGCCCTTGAGTTCCTGTGATCAACAATGGAAAAAACATTTTAGAGGTAACTGCTGACCCTACATCCTGGGGCCCAGAATAAGGACATGAGGAGCAGACTTGAAGCCAGCAAGAGGGCTGGGTTCAGTCTGGTATAGCAGGTGCAGACTACCTAGATCAGCTGATGTGCAACCAATCTGAGGACTCCTGAGCATAAAACTAAATTTGCTTTGTTGTTAAGATTTTGAGTGAATAAACAGCAAAGCAACTCCAATAAATATTCCTGGCTTTGTCAGTTATCTCTCTTCTTAGTTCTTAAATTTCCTTTTTCTTAGTATCCTTTTTTGGAGTTACTTCCCTCCGCAAATCCTAAAAATATTTGTGACCCTGAGAATTTTTACTTTTTAAATTATCCAGGACAATCTCAATGACTGTTACATTTAAAACTTCCACCTATGGTGTGATGA